AATCAAATTTCTCTTCTCCCTACTTCAGGCCAACCGATAAAGTTGCTATCGCCGGATACCAAGTTAGGGTTAGGGCAGTGAGTCAACAGCCATCGCACGATAAACAGCCCAATTGCCACAAAGCCAGTCGAAATCCCACACAATCCTCAATTCAACGTTTCCACACAAGAAAATGACGAATCTCAACTGATCATAGCCAGTAAAGCAATAAAGCAAATCAACACCAAATCCCTACAATCCACTACATCACCGCTGTATACCCCGCTGGCACCCATAGTCGGTATCCCCTATAAACCCATTCCAAACCTATATGGCCTAACAATTAGTCTAACAGTCGTGTCGTTCATAAACAGAGTCAATAACCCGTTAAAGATCTAAAGACTAGGTGTCGTTCATAAACAGAGTCAATAACCCGTTAAAGATCTAAAGACNCGTTCATAAACAGAGTCAATAACCCGTTAAAGATCTAAAGACTAGGTGTCGTTCATAAACAGAGTCAATAACCCGTTAAAGATCTAAAGACTAGGAAGTCGCGAGCAACACCATGTCCGAAGCAGGAGCATCGGCTAAAGTGGACAAACCCCGGTCGAGGCTGAAGCCCTGTGTCAGCAATTCACCAACAGCTCTGGGCGATACTGATCGCAGCGAGAAGTCCCTCATCCAATCTCCCGGATGTCGACGCTTGTCGATGTACTCTCCTCGTTCGTCTCCAGCTCTTCACTCGGATGAAATTGCATCCGTGGCCACAACACAACAGTGTTACGTATCTGCAATCAGCGGGCAAAGCCCCTGATCGGGTGACAATTCTGATATGTAACATTTGCCTCAACAGTACATCCAAATTTCTTACCAAATTTGAAATAAAAATCAAATACAAAAAATAAATAATATTAATGAAAATAAGAAAAAATCAAACGAGAATGAAATTATTGCGTAGGCGAGCAAGTTTTTGACACCGCCATCTTTGGCGATTTTTCATTTTTTTTTGGCTTTGTCAAATGCCATGAAATTTTATACATATGTATCTTACATCATAGAGAACCTACAAATAGAGTTTGAAAAAATAATATTTTTTTTCAGGCCCCGAAATAAAGGGAAAACAAAAAGTGAAAAGAGAAAAAAAACAGATTAGTAAGTGGGAAAGCGAGTTTTGACACCACCATCTTTGCCGATTTTTCATTATTGTTTGGCTCCACAGAATGACTTCAAAATTGAGAGACAGGTAGCTTACATAACAGAGAACTCACAAAAAAACACATTAGAAAAAAAAAATAATTTTTAGGTACCAAAATATTTTTTTGCGGGGTCCAAACCCCTTCGAGTTCAGGCCCCGTACGGGGACCCGAGCGCCCGAACGTTCGGGGGTCAGCTTAGGGGCCTCCGTACGTTCGGCCTGGCAACTCTGTATATATATATATTATATTATATATATCGTCACAAATAGAACTGCCTGGTAAACCGTAGGCAGAGAGAGAGAAGAGGACAACAAACGAGGGGCAGTCCGGAGTAGGAAAAAGGCAGTAGACATTGCAAGGAGTCAGACCTACTCTAGGCGAAGTATTAAGAGGAGTTAGACGAGGTTAGTCCACGTGGTGAGGGGGTGGAGGCTGCTTACCTGAGCCCTTTGCCACTATGGATGATTACGCTATGTTCTCGATTCTGGCCATGTCCATACTTTGGGCCCCACTGTTCCGGTTTCTCTTTCCTTTTGGCTTCCAATGTACCTCTTTCTGCTACACAACGTTGAGATCTGGGAAATCAACGGAGGTGCATTCAGCTGAGGAGCAGGCAGAAATAGACCGCCAGCTAGTAGAGAAAAGAAAAGAGAAAGAAGAGAAGATAAAGAAAAAGGAGAAGGAAGTGAAGAAAAGTTGCAAGAAGAAAAGCAGCAGATGGAGAAGGAGGTTCAGGAGAAGGAGAAGGCCATAAAAGAAAAAGAGAAAAGGTCGATGGAGGAGTTGAAGGCCATAGAAGAGAAGGAAGAAGAAGAGGAAGATGGACAGAAGTTAAAGAAGGGGAGCCCGATTGCGACAAGAGCAGGCTGAGAGCAGCCAAATGGGCAGCATTCGGATGCCCCAGCTGGAAGCAATGGACTGGCTAGGTCAGTTCGGATTCCGAGAAGAGTTGCCAGCAGAGAGTGAGGAGGAGAAGGAAGCTTTCTTCAAACTGTTGTCGGAAGTGAAAGATGAGGCGGAGAAACGATTGTTGGTGGAGGAGAGGAGAGCAGGCTTGCATAACCGCATGCTGCTAGAGAAGAGAAGAGAGTTTGATGAAAAGAAGAAGATGAAAGAGGAAGGAGAAAGATTGTGGAAGTTGCTGCAGGAGCAGAAAGGGAAGCAGGTTGCAATGGAAGAGAGACTTACCCTTCTCACTGACACCCTCGTCCAAACCAATGATCAGCTCGCTGAAAGGCCCCTTTTTGACCCTGCAAGCAACACAGTCGGCCGCCCTAAGTGAAGGCAGGCCCGACCAAGGCCAGAAGGCCTCTTTTCTCGGCTACCCCGCTACAGTTGCGCAACGCACGTTGGCTGAAAGCGCCCAGGCCCTGGCTTCTTTTATGAAATGCATCTGAGGCAGGCCCTGGGCGAGATACACAACATGGACCCAACACAGGCTGCAGACAGTTGGGCACGATTAACTGCCACAGGCCCTGGGCCTGATTCGTTCCAACTGGGGCTCAGCCTCCCGGGGCCTACCGGAAGCTTCTGGGCCGGGGCCCGGTGCAGCCAGGTTGCACGCAGCAGGCAGGCCACTTCCATTTAGGAAAGTGCCTGCCCTCGCATTCGGCATTCGGGCACTGGCTGCATGCTGCGCAAGCGCTGCTGCGCTAATCGCTAGCCAGGCCCACACGCTCATGGGCGAGCAGGGAGAGCAGGCAGCCATAGCTGAGCTGCGCTGCATTGTGCTGGATGGGGCGCATGGTTGTCCTTGGGTGCATGTGGCATTTGTGAGTGGGGGATCGAGGTTGTGAGTGATACGAGAGACATACCTGGTGCTTAAGGCGAACGACATTGGCCGAGATCTAGTTCGAGTAATAGATCTAGGAATAAAACCAATTGTCTCATAAGCTATTGAATCAATATTAGTTGCTCGTACTTCGGGGAGTTGTTGACGTCACCAGCGGCATTGTAGATAAGCTAGATAGGATCTGTCATTTGTAGTCTGGGCGCAGGGCGCCAGATAGGATGCCGACATTGGTTCTTTGTTGATGATGGTGAGACTATTCCAACATCGTCACTTATGAGCTTTTGCTGTGCTCTTATTTGGTGAAACTCGTGTTGCAATTCTGCTTTTGGTTTGAGGTCACAACTATCTGGTCTCATGTTTATGATGCTGCTTGGTTTCTGAAGTTCGCTATCGCTCATTTTCCTTGCAATTTGGTATCGGAGTTGTGGTACGTTGCGCTAATCTGGCGCTTGTCTTCTGCCTATGCGGTACATGCACGCGGTCTGCTGGGCGAGCGGCCGTGGGAGGTGTGTAGTGAGGAGGGCGAAGGCAAGCAGGGCGACCCAAGAGGTGAGGGGTATCGCCAGGAAGGCTACGTGGGGAATGTTAGGTGTTCGCAGTGTGATGAGAACTATCTGATGTGCGATTGATGCTGAGGTGGAACGACGGGGTAATGCTGGTTGTGCCGAAGCAGCAATTGGTCATCACAATCGACATCAGGTCATCTGGTGAGAATATATGTGGTTGGGGGCAGCTATTTTGAGGTATGTTGCTTTCAACCTTATCTACCCTCTTCGACACTTCTTACCGTGAGGATGTGTGTTCTGTCCTAAGGGTCCTCTCATGTGAGGAGTCGAGTGCGCTCAACCTTGAGAGTCGGTATCGTTCACGTGGAGCATCTGGAAGGAGAGGGCAAAGCTATCTGAAGGACCCTGGACGAAGCACTGGTCACGGTCACCATGCCAACCCACCGGGAGTAGAGCACGCATGCTTTTCTGCTTTGTCCTTTGTCTGCCTGCTGCGTTGATAGACGGGTCATGAGGGGCAGGCCAGCCCTACAGGGAAGAGTACCGGGCGTCTATAAATAAGCACCGACGGGTTTACCTTCCACTGGCCGTGATCGCCGTCCTGTCTGTGATGTTAAATAATTCCCGAGGACTTCGGGGGCCGTCCTTAAACGCCTCTTGATCAGCCAGGTGGTCAGTGTAAGGCTCTCGACACGCGAGGATAAACATAGTGTAGGGCTGGCCAGCTCAGCATTCACTCGGGGCACAGGGGTGGGCCGTGTGCACACCTTTAGACACGCACGCTATCTGGATCGCTTAGGGACGCTGGCGTCAAGTGACAATCAAGAGGAACTGAGGGAGGCGTAGGTTTCAGGTGATCAGTTCGGGAAAGATTCCACTCTGCAAACAGCCAAACAAATGATTCTATTTTTAATTTTGATTATTTAGATGTTACAGCCATTGACATCTGACAGACAACATTAGGTAGAATTTTGCTATCCGTTTGTGGACTAATTAAGTAAAAATAGTTCTCGTTTGTAGGAATCTGAACTTACCTATTGGACCCGAATGTTTAGACTCTGAAATAGCCACCGATTAATTAATTTATTTATTTTAAATCGGTCTGTGCATTATGTTGTGGTAGGCATCGAGTGTGTGACCTAGTGGAGTCTGTGTGCAGTTTTGTAGCTTATGAGCGACAGGGAGGACACTAGAGAGGACGATAGGATCCTGCGATCAGCAAGGTGCCCGATAGCCCACTTGGCATTAGGACCAGAGGTCGACAGGTTCCTGTTCCGCCAGCAGAGAGAGAGACAACAGCAGCAGCCAAGAGCTAGGGCCGCAAAAGCAAGTAGGGCATTCGCAAGTGAGGCCGCTACTTCGGCAGCCATGGCAACTGCTGCGCAGCAGAGCTCTCAAGCTAGTAGTTCAAAGGCTGTAGTTCAGGGGCTGTAGGGTCAACGGTCGCACAGACCCTGAGTCAGTCTGCTGGCGTCATGGCAAGCCAGCCGTTAGTGTTGACCCCCGAGGAGATCGCAATACGACAAGCGGATGCTCGGGAGGCACAATTACAAAAGGCTTTAGGGGAGATAAAGGCAGAAAAAGAGAAAATGATCAGAAGAAGAGCAAGGATGCAGCGGAGACAAGCGGACATTAGCGAGTTAGAGGAGATGGACCTGACAAACGTGGATGATGATGTGAGGACCCTGAGGACGGTCTTGCTAGATGTAGTAGAAATGCAGGATCACTAAATGGCTCTCTTACAGGACATCCAGCAGAGCTTGGCCGTGCTGGTCGGGCGAGCTCAGGCGGGCCTGGTGCCTGGCCCGTGGTACAACCTCCTCCTTTTGTCCCACCGGTGACTGGGGTATCCCCATTTGTAATTCCTCCAGCATCGGCACAGGCCGCTTCCCTAGGAATGCCTTTGACAGGAGGGTTCTCAACAGGTCCTAGCATACAGATTCCTATACAAACAGTGTATTCCCAACCTCCGTTGCAGACTGCCGTAATTGGGCAGCCTGCTGTCTCGCAGCCAGCACAACCGCTGGGCGCACAACCCCAACAACAGTTAGTGCAGCAGCCTGCACCCCAGGGTCCACAGCCCGGAGTGGGGCAGGTACCGGGACAAGGCCAGTGGCTTCCAAAGACGACCATTGCCTCACCCAAACCCTTTTCAGTTTTCAGGGGACAAGTGGGGCAAAGACCTTGACACATGGTTGAGGTCAGTGCCTATCTACGTGAAGTGCAAGTTGACCTTGCCACACAAGGAAGTGCTTGTGGCTGCCTCCTATCTT